AGGTCGTTCCTCCCTCAGTGTGACATGGCAGATTATCTGACCCTTAGCGCGGCGGCGCCGGCCGAGGGTCCCTCTCAGCGCCCTGCTCCCCCGGCGGCCGCGCCGCTGACACATTGTTGGCAGAGCAGGGTCCACCCGTCACAGTCGGATGCCCGCACCTCCCCGTTTTAGCCCCAAAACGAGCCGAACGATTGACTGGGCGTCCGACGTCGCCCATTTGTAGACCCAGCGTTCGTCCTCGCCGAGTTACGGATATGAATTGGGTGTTTTTGTAGCTCTGGCATTTCCCGAAATAGCACACCTTTTTTAGCTGTGTGACGAATGAGTGGTTTGTTTAAGATGGAGACAAACTAAGATTCAAATTGATTTTATTCTAAATTGCCTTTATTTTCTGATCATCAGGATTTATCGTCACAATAATGAGCCCTTGCATGGCAAATGCACGACATAATTAATCTAAACTAAGGCGCACACATTACTTGTTCCCTTTTCAATATTTCCGCGAGCGACTTTCCATAGCTCAAAAGATTAGACTATTTGTGATTGAACACTGGTTTGTGAAAACAAGACGGTCTAGCGCTGACGTCAACACTCGTCTTATGTATGGCTTTATATAAACAAACATCGCTCCATACATTCAACTCATAGTGTCCGCGAAATGTCACATGCAAATGCAAGAGTGCATAAATTAGTCAGGGGAAGGAGGCCCAATTTTGGGCCGAATAACGCAAAATTGGGTAGAGCTTAGCAAAGGGTGGTTTCTGGGACAAAAATGACCGCTGAACCCGAATCTGACCGGTGCGCACCTCTAACTAATGTTGCACCACCTCCAGAGCACGTGGAACTGCGTGGTTCTTCTTTTTGAAGAATGGTACCCTTTTTATATATTTTAAAATAAAATAAGTCGTGTAGTTCTGATGTATTCCAAAACTTTAATATTATAGTCAAAAATCATTGCATAAATGAAAATCCTAGTTAACGCATATCGCAGACTATCTATGACGTCACTGTGACGTCATTTATTCGTAAACTGACGGGAAAATGAGGTGTGACAACAAAACATTTAACTTTATTCACAGGATACGCTCTTTGGCGGGTTTAAAATGCATTGAGCATGCTCAGAAAATATCTCCCCGTTGCAAAAAGTAAAAATCGTCTGGATGGAGGTACCATTTTGGTCTACAGGGGGCGAAATCCGCGGAGTGTGCGTTTTTACCCCAAATAGCTTTTGTGCAATAACTTTTGATACAATGCTTGCATGTCGTCCATTTTACCATCGTTGTGATTCTCTCGCCGAGACGCATCGAATGGTATGCAAATTGGCTTCGATAGGTTAAGATTATATTTTACCTCAGGTCATGAGCTCCGGTCGATTATCACGCTAGTGAAGGTTATGACCTGACTGGAAATAATCATGTAGTTTACCAATTGCTTTGGATTATCAAGATAATCGCATGGAAAATGCTTTCATTGTTCTTATGTGGTTTGATCAAAAGCTATAGCTGAAAAATTGCTGATGACGTTTTCAGGACGTCACATGACAAAATTCAAAGGTAGATGATATAGAAGTCGTTCATATATGTATTGGCGCCGCAAAGCATTCGTAAGGCATGCAGTATGCTTGCGAAATTTTCGAATTAGATGTGTGCTTAACAGCTGCGTATGTAGTTTTAGGTTATTACGTTGGCATACGTACCTAAAAGGTGGGCGTAAATTTCGTCACAGAGGGTTTCACATGTGTTATGTCCCAAGTTCTTATCAACGTCTTGTGGTTATTCATGTTCTTAGACGTCACATACCCGAGCATTGAAGAACACGTAGCAATTAACCGGAGAGACTTTGATTCTGGTCATGGTTGTATTCATCTCTTCTGGTAAATATACACACACACGCACAGGCGAACACACATACTGTAGCACGGCTACTATCAGGAGGCGTTCGGCTGCCGGTCGCCGGCACGGTGACTCTGTGCACCCTGGGCGGTGGCCTTCGCCCAGGACGTCTGCCTCGTCCATCCAGCGGCCGCGTCTCGCCGTAATTTGATACAATATGTTCAGTCCCATTTTGTACAGTACACGGCATACGCACATAGGTAGTATCCCGAGTGCTTGGCACCTCCGTTAAATTGTACGACGCCAACCATCTCTCTCATCTCATCTCATCTAATATATTTAACACATTCGTTCAAAACAAACAATCGGTGTTACCTCGATTGGCGCAAAAGTGCCGGAACACTTAACTCGGGGCGCCTCTCGAGTACTAACAATCGCGCTGGGTGCCGCCCACAGCCTCACAGCCGCTGTCCGCCACCACGCAGACCGCTCCCAATAGAAGTAAAGGCGCCGGCGCCAGGGGCAGCGCTCTGTGACGGCCGGTGTCAAAGGACTGGGCCATCCGGTACGTGAAGTCGCTGGCCAGGTCGACGGAGCAGAGCGACTGGTTGTTCTCGACGCAAGACTCGGATAGATGCGCCTGTTCCGATGCGTCAGCCGGCTCTCCCTTCTTCTTCTTCCGCGCACTGCCGGCTGTGACCTAGGGCGCGGCAGACCGGGGCTGGTCCACAGGTGGCGTGGTCCGCCCCACTCGGTCGAGGAACTCCGTGACGTATTTAGCCGGCCCCGAGAGCACATCCTAGAGGGTGGGGAGCGGCCCCCAGAGCCGGGTTCGCGTTCTTGCGCGGCCGGGCACTCGCATAGCAGGTGCGCGACCGTGTCCTCTTCGCCGCAGTGTCCGCAGAGAGAGCTGGTGGCCAGGCCAATCCTGAAGAGTGTGGCCCGGACCAGGGGTGAGCAGCCGCTGCGGATCTGCGAGACGGTGGTCTGTCCCCATCGGTCGAGGTCGTCGTGGCCAGGGGTGTTCTCCAGATGTGGGTGGTGCTTGGAGCGATCGAGGGTGAGCAGGCCGGTTCAGTGTCTGATGGCGATGCGCGCAGAGGCCAGGTCAGGTCAACTGGGATCCGACGCTGGTCGCCTGATGTCGCCGCGATGTTTGCTAGGCGGTCCGCTTCTTCATTACCCTGGACCCCCGCGTGGCCCGGGATCCACTGGAGACTGATAGCTCTGCCCCCGGCCGCGGCAGAGTGCAGGAGAGCCCAGATGCCCTGTGTCAGGGCCGATTCCTGCGATGCCGGCCTCGGCTGAGCAGTTGGAAGCCGGGCAGGGAGTCCGAGCAGAGCAGGACATACCGAATGGCTGCGAGGGATGGCTCCGGCAGTCCCAGGAAACATTTTAACGCCTCCGCCATCGCCGCCAGCTCCGCCTGCATGCTGCTGCATACGACTTCTGCCGGTACGGTACATTCGATCTTGCGCCCCTCACGGTGCAGTTCGAGGAGGGCTCCTCCGCCGCCTTTCTTGGTACCGTATAGGGCAGAGCTATCAGACCAGATTGTGAGGTCTGGATATGGGTAAGCGGCCAGGGCCTCCAGCGTTGCAGCCTTCCGTAATTCTGGTGGGTCAGTCCTCTTGGTAGGTTTCGGAAGCTTCAAGCCGAAGTGGACGTTGGTGTTGTACTGCTTCCACGGCGGTTCTCCCTGATGCAGTGTAAGTGGGGCTACGGGCACTCCGCCCAGTCCAGCTTCCTCGCACACCCACTTCCCCACTCGTCGGAAACAGGGTCGATGCTAGAGGCCAGCAGCGTCCTCATCTGGCGGCGACGGCGCCGGCACTCCCACCTTCCTGTTTCTTCCGCATCCAATGGAGATGGGCTCTGTACTGCAGTCTAGGTGGCGGTGTCTTATCAATGAGCTTCCGAGTGGGATCGTCCGGAGGGAGTCGCGTCAGGCGTCCATACTCCCGGCCTGCCAGCTCCTTGGCCCGTACTGCCAGCTCCGGCTCTCCCTTCTCCAGCAGCCGCATGCTGGTACTATTCAATCTCTTTTGGACTCAGACGGGCGAGTCGGGAGAGCTCCATATTCAGCTCGTCGTTCCCGTCATCATCAATCTGCAGCTTTGTCTAAAACGGTTCCATGTGTGCACCAAGAGCAATTGATAGTGTCGAGCCGCATGCATGTTGAAGGTGTCACCAAGCTTCAACTTTACAGGGCAATCACGAATCCATGCTCCTTTGATACAAATGAATTTTCACTTGCAATGTAGGTAGTCCCAAGAAAATGGACTTCATTCAAAACAGGTTTACGAGGAGGCATTCAGTTGTCAGATCATTTTTGTAGGCACTGTTTTGTTCCTGCATCGTCTATCGTGTGGTCTCGCTTCGATCTTAGATTGTTTTCCTCAATTATCCAAGATATTTCACTTTCTTACAAAGGTGATTTTTGCCCTTTTTGATAAACCACAGCTGTTTATTTTCTTTCCCAGTCTTCATGACAAGCACAATTCTGGATCATTTTTTATCGCTTGCCAAACGCGCGTAATGACGAGGCTGAACCCACGCTGACTTTCCGTTATTCATAGGAATGGATATTTACTTGAAATAAATAAAAAATTATACAATTTGAACTATAAATAAGACCAAAGGAACGATATTTAGTCACTTCAACGCCAACAGCATTTTCATTTAAATGCCGTCGCAGCGCCAGAACACGGTAAAAATGACATAAAAATATCCTGTTTCACGTGATTTATCAATCTGCTGTACTACTTCATCCAGTTTGACCAAATCTGTCAGGTGGTGACTTGGACTGTCACGCTCTCAACGTGACTCACAAGTACCTCTGTGTAGTGTTCTGTTTTGTCGCAGATGCGTCACGTTGAGTTTTGTATGGTTAGAGGTGGGGATTGTTGTACCCTTGACGTGGCCATCTCTAGAATACAGTTTTCCGGTGGTGGAACGGGCGTGTGGGCTGGTGAACTTGAATGGAGTGAACCGTAACGATTACTGAACGCGGACATTACATTTCTGGCGACGAGAATGCCCAACTATGAGGTGCCGGCTCCGACGCCATTTTTGGCACGGCCAGGCCGGCCGCCTAAGCCGTGGGCGAAATGGAAGGACACTTTCGTCAACGTCTATTTGGTCGCGGCGGCCGGTGACGGGCCGCCAATGTCGCCGGGGCTGGCGCGAGCCCTGCTGCTCTCACACCTGGGTGAGGAGGGGCAACGCATCTATGATACCTTACCTCCTCTACCGAAACTCGAAGGTGAGGACGATTTTGCTCACTGTGTCCGACAGCTCGACTCGTACTTCGAGGAGCAGATAAATGTCATCGTTGAACGGTTCACCTTTAGACAGCGGCCCCAACTAAGCACGGAATCTACTGCAGAGTACGTTTCGATTCTCCGTGGATTAGCAAAAACATGTGCATTTGGTAGCATGGAAGATGAGTTGATCCGAGATGTGGTGGTCGAAAAGACGGTGCACCCTAAGTTGAGGGAACGATTTCTGCAGGACAGGGAACTAACACTTGAGAAGGTGTTGAGTATCGCCGAGGCATACGAGCGCTCAGTAAGGGAATCGAGCTTGATGGCAGGGCAGGCTGCCCCAGTCACAGTGGCACGAGTTTTTTCTCAGCCTCAGCCCCAGTCTCGTCAAAAGCAATGCACGAACTGTGGCTACACTGACCATGCCCCGTACGCACCTACTTGTCCCGCCAGACGATCCACCTGCAGGGCCTGTGGCAAGCGCGGCCACTGGGCTGCTCTCTGCCAGGGTGGTTCATCCGAAGCCGACTCAGCTGGAGGAGGAGCTTCAGCTCAAGGAGGTCCTGCAGCAAGAGGCAGCACACCCCGGAGAGGAGGCAGGAAGCAGGTACAGCGGAAGCCTCACCAGCGAGGTATGGTGAAGGAGGTCAGTGACTCTAATGTTTTGTCCTGTGGCTCATCTAAGGGGAAGCCTCACAAGATCACTTGTCCAGTGACGATGTCTGTTGGGGAAAAGTGTCACCAAGTTGACCTCCAAGTGGACTCTGGAGCGTCATGTTCTGTGCTAAGCCTCGGGTTTGCAAGACAGCTGTTCAAGGGATGCAAGTACGAGCCCACGACTACCAACCTGTTTGGCTTTGGGAAGGTTCCCCTGAAGGTGGTTGGTTCTCTGCCTGTGCGTGTGCAGTATGGTGGTGCCGTTGCAGATGCGTCCTTCTACCTGGTTGACACAAGTGCTTCTGAGCGTGTCATGGGCCTTGATCTGATGCAGGCCCTGGGTCTCACTGTGCAGGGACATGGTGGACTGACCTTGGTGCCCACTGTGTGCTCTGTGGACAGGAGCGACACGGAGCAGGAGCTGCCCACCATCGTGGGGTACCAGCACCGGATCGTCTTGCGACCGGACGCCAGTCCGACGGTGTACCGGCTGAGGAGACTGCCCCTCTCCGTTCGTGATGAGGTCTCCAAGGAGCTACAGCGACTTCTCAGAACTGGCATCATCGAGCGGATCGACGCCTCACCATGGGTGAGCCCCCTGGTGGTCTCCAGGAAGCCCGATGGGAAGATCCGTCTCTGCGTGGACCTCAGAGGACCGAACGCCCAGATCGTCCCAGAGGTGCATCCTCTGCCAACGATCGAGGAGCTGCAGACCCGTCTCCACGGCGTCTTCTACTCCAAGCTGGACCTCAGATCGGCCTACCACCAGCTGGAGTTGCACCCCGACAGCAGGGACATCACCGCCTTCATCACCCACGACGGGCTGATGAGGTTCAAGAGGGTACCCTTCGGCCTGGTGTCAGCTGGATCGGCTTGCCAGAAACTCCTGGACGACGTGCTGAAGGACGTTCCTGGATGCGGACACTACATGGACGACATACTGGTGTCCGGCAAGACCAGAGGTCAGCACGATGAGAGACTACGTCAAGTTCTCACCCGACTCCGAGACGCCCGAGTGACCATCAACATGGAGAAGTCGGTCTTCGCCAAGGAAGAAGTAGACTTCTGTGGTCATCACCTGTCTTCTGCCGGCATCACGCCTCGGACGGCCACGGTGGAGGCGATGCGCGCCGCGCCGCGGCCGAGCAACTCCCAGGAGCTGCGGAGCTTCCTCGGGCTCGCAGGCTGGTTCGCGCGCTTCATCACCGGGTACGCGGCCGTGGTCCGACCTCTCTCGGCAATGCTCAAGAAGGACTCCGAGTTCGACTGGTCCGACGAAGCGGACACCAGCTTCAACAGGATCAAGGAGCTGGTCACCAGCCGGCCGATCCTACAGCCGTTCGACCCAGCTCTTCCGACGGTGGTCACCTCGGACGCTTCAGACCGCGGTGCTGGCGCCGTGTTGGCACAGCTGCACCCGGACGGCACCGAGAGACCCGTGTCGTACTGGTCTCGGAGCTTCACGGACACCGAGCAGCGCTACTCTGTGTCAGAGCGTGAGACCCTCAGCGCGGTACAGGCGGTGGAGCGTTGGAGGATCTACCTGTGGGGCAGATTTTTCACCCTGCGCACGGACCACTCAGCCCTGACGACTCTGCTGTCGCCGAAGTTCTCCGGCAGGGCGGGAGCTCGCGTCGCCAGGTGGCAGGCGCGTCTCCAGCCGTACGCCTACCGAGTGGTCTACACCCCTGGGAACCGGATCCCGGTGGCCGACGCGCTGTCTCGGTTGCCGCTGGACACGTCTGACTCACCTGACATCGACGACGGTGAAGACATCGTGGCGCTCGTGTCAGCTGAGATGAGTGACGAACCAGACACTCTCACGGAGGAGAGAGTGCGGCAGGAGTCGCAGTCCGATCCAGTCTTCCAGCGGCTACGGGACACCATCGCCACCGGCTGGCCGGACTCTGCGAGACGGTGCGCTAAGGAGATTCAGCCGTACTTTGCGGTCCGTCATGAGCTCCAAGCTCGTGAGGACGGGGTCATCATGCGCGGAATGGACCAAGTTGTGGTCCCCAGCAAGCTGCGAGCTCAGTACGTGGAACAGGCGCATCTCTCTCACGATGGGATCGTGAGGACGAAGCAGCTGGTCCGTCGGCTCTCCTGGTGGCCAGGCCAGAGCCGTGACGTCACAGAGAAGATCAGGAACTGCCAGCAGTGTCAAGCAAGTGACAAGGTGCTCAGCGGAGCGGTCAGCCAGGCACCGCTGCAGCCAGTTCCGTTCCCCGACCGACCGTGGTCGAAGCTGGGGCTGGACGTCGTGGGACCTCTCCCGGACGTGCCTGCATCTGCTCGCTTCGCCGTGACACTCACGGACTATCACAGCAAGTGGGTGGAAGTTGGACTGACCCCGACTGTGACAACGGCCGACATCATCCGGATCCTGGCAACGGTGTGGTCCCGTGAGGGATACCCGGACGAACTCGTCACGGACAACGGGACGCAGTTCACCAGCCGCGAATTTCAGTCGTACCTGAAGCAGCGCGGTATTCGTCACCTGCGGTCATCAGTCTACTGGCCGCGGGGGAACGGAGCGGTTGAACGCTTCAACCGCACTCTCAAGTCGTGGTTCATCGCAGCGGTCAACCAGTCGGAAGTCCCCTTCCAGCAGTATCTGCAGCTGCAGCTGGCGCGGTACCGGTCGTCGCCGCACTGCTCGACCGGCAGGGCGCCGTCGGAGCTGTTGCACGGCCGGATCATGCGACTCCAGCTGCCAGTGTTCGCCCAGCAGCCGCCTCCGGACCCCATCGTCCGTCTCCGAGTGGAGAAACAACAGCGGCGCAACAAGCGCGCGTACGATGCCCGGCACGCCACGCGCCGGACTCGAATCAGCGTGGGCGACTGGGTCCGACCGAAGAAACAGGTTCATGGGAGCAAACGTACCGCGTTCTCAGCGCCGTTACGTGTGACCCGACAGCTGGCTCCAGCCACCTTCGAGCTGGAGAACGGAGTTCGGTGGAATGCGGCACACCTGGCTCGTCTGCCAGACACCGCCACCCCGACCGGACCTGCGCGACGACAGGACGACAGTCTCGCCAGCTGCAGCTTACCTCCGCCTGCAGCACGGGCTACGTGTCGCCCGACCGAGCGGGCGCGGCGACCTGACGGGGGACAAGCGTCGCCGTCGCCGCCGCTGGTGCGCGCGCCAGCCGGAGCGGCACTCTGCTCTCCCGCTGGAGCGGCGCCCCGTGCGCCTGCTGGAGCGGCGCCCCGCTCGCCGTGGGGATCTGGCGCCGCCCGGACCCCTCCTGCGTCGCCTTCGACGAGCGCGCCCGCCTCACCAGCCCGGGGCCCGCCGCAGCCGGATTCGTCGGCACCCGAGGCGGCGACCGCGGGGGCCGACACCGGGCAAGCCCCGGCTCCGAGAGGACCCCTCGAGCTGACGCCTACCCGACGCGGTCGGCGCAGGCGGGCTCCGAACCGATATTCCCCGTGACATGGTCAACCTGGGATATGTAACCCTGTAAACCCTCAAGGGAGGGGAGATGTAGTGTTCTGTTTTGTCGCAGATGCGTCACGTTGAGTTTTGTATGGTTAGAGGTGGGGATTGTTGTACCCTTGACGTGGCCATCTCTAGAATACAGTTTTCCGGTGGTGGAACGGGCGTGTGGGCTGGTGAACTTGAATGGAGTGAACCGTAACGATTACTGAACGCGGACATTACACTCTGCAAAAACGATTTTAGCATGATCCGACTCAGAAATGTTCATAGATCATGTTTGATTATTTTCCCTTCTCTGATTTGCATACGACGGGAATTAAGTTAAATGCTTTAAGGACAAGAAGACTTTTTTCAACTCATTTATAGGTAAATGACGTCACGGTGACGTCATCGGCTGCCTGAACATCGCAAAACTTCAGCTGTCAATTACGCCATGTGTTTTTAGCACAGGGACAAAATCTCAAAACAATATCTCAAATATCAACGACGTTACACTGCAATTCATTAAAAAGGTACCATTCTCCAAAAAAGATGAACCACGCAGTTGCACGTGCTCTGGAAGTGGTGCAACATTAGTTAGAGGTGCGCACCGGTCAGATTCGGGTTCAGCGGTCATTTTTGTCCCAGAAACCACCCTTTGCTAAGCTCTACCCAATTTTGCGTTATTCGGCCCAAAATTGGGCCTCCTTCCCCTGACTAAATATCCGAGATAGCGATAGTTTCAAGTCTTCGTGAGTTTCGACTACAGCCAATTTAAAAACGGCACCACATCCACGAGAAATACCATATGTAATATAAAGGGAGATATATGCACATCGATATTGGTCGCAAGAGTAACCGAATTCACAACACAGCTTATACAAGAGACTTGATTAAATATTCAGCACAAGCCCCCTGGCGTCGGCCGTCGCAAAAAAGAATCGGGGTGTTAACCCGCAACCTGGTGGGGGGCTATTTTTTGCCCCCTCCAGACTTTTCGATATATCTCCAGAACCGCTGCGCCGATCGTCACCAAACTTTCAGTACCCTCCCGGACATCAATTTTACACATTGTGACCAAATTTTTTTTCCAAAGGCTATGATAGGTTGGCCGGAAATGACGTCAGAGTGACGTCATGTTCTGCCGTTATCGACCCAAAAAAGGGTTTCGCGGGAAGAGCTGTCAGGCCTATAGCTTTGCAAATACAGAAAAATGATAAACATAAAAGCTATAGAATCGACAGGGCTACAAAACTGCTATCTCGGATTTTTGAAATCTTGGATTTTGACCCCCAAAAATCAAAAAATAATTTTTTTTGGATATAATAATCGAAAAATCCAAAACGTTTTTTGAATTTCGCAAAAACCGGAATATATGTGATAGTCCTTACCGCCTTCCATCCACATACAAAATTTGAGATTGATGCCTCTTTTTTTGGCGAAGTTATAGCGAAAACTCCGTTCAAAATTGATGACGTCAAATTTTCCACCTCAATTTTTAGCAATGCTAGACCGCGTAGCGCAAAACAAAGACCACCATTAGACTCCCCGTGATGAGCTGCATCGAATCAATACCCATTTTATGCAAAACTATCAACTTTAAAATTTGACCTTTTTTGGCCTGACCTTGACCTGACCTTGACCTGAACTTCACCAGAAAGTGACCTAAGCCGTACCTGATAGTCTTATAACCAACACCATTGAGTTGGAAATGAAAAATTGGCCATAAAACATGCATCACACAACCTTAGTAAAGTTGGGCTCATGTGACCTGACCTGTGACCCTTGGTGACCTGACCTGTGACCTGACCTGGTATTGTCAGTGACCTCTAATAGCAACATATCTACTAGGCAACTGACGCTCTATCGCTGATTCTCGACAAAATGCGTTTTCCTCTGTGTTATAGCGCATTCCCTAGAAGACCCGTGAACGGTGAAACATTTCATCTTTGACCTGACCTGTGACGTCATCGGTGACCCCGACGTCAATGAAATTTGGTTGCCTTCGACAAATTTGACAGGCCTTTCGAACGCCGTTTGAATTTTGCGGATCCGTCCAGTAGTTTCGGAGATACGAGGGGGCAAAAAATAGCCCCCCACCAGGTCGCGTTATAAACAGACCCCACCAGGGCGCGGGTTAACGAGGAGCAATGTTTTTTTTTTTTAATCTACAATATATAATTGTGCGCAATGTAAACACTGAGCATGAATCGTATCATAATGTATCCTTAGCACTGCTATGCTGGACATGTAGGAGGCAATGAGAATATATTTCTCTCCTAGGCTTTACATAGGAATAAGGCCCGGATCTAAGGAAAACAAATGCTTCAAAAGTTTATGGACATTGTATAACTATAGCCACTACAAAATTAAAACATAAAGCCCAGCATCATAGGAAAGGAAAAATGATAAATTGAAATACGTAGCACAACAGATAAAAAGATGCAAAAAGACTGGAGGACAGGGATAAAAATCTGGCAGTGGGGTCAGATAGGAGTGAGGCGCCGAGATGGATCTCATCTCGGCCGGTGTATTCGCCGGCACCAGCTGGCGGCACGGGTGATCCATCAGGTGACCGCGCTCCGTGTCCACCTATCTGACGGAGCGGTGCCGTGTGGGAGGATTGTGCATTCAGCCACCGCGCCGGCACCCGCAGACCGTGCCGGGATGGAGCGCATCGGTCACTGGTGGGTCAGCGAGCGGAGCGACCGGGGCACCGGAGCAGGGGCACGGTCAGAGGCGTGGGCCGAGAGTTCGGTGAGGGGGAACAGGGCGACACCTCTCCCTCTCCTACCCATCAGAGGTGTGGGCCGAGAGTTCAGTGAGGGGGAACTGCATCTTAACCCGCGCGGGGCTGGGGTCTCCAGCCGAACGCGCGGGGCTGGGGGGGGGGGGGGGGTAAATTTTACCCCCCCTGTTATCTCCCGAACTAATGGTCCGATTTGGAAAATTCAAACGCCAATCGAAATCTCTCATCACGAACTACTAAAAACATGTACTTAATTTAAAGTTTGAGGTCAAGGTCAAGGTCAGGTCAAGGGTACAAATTGCAAGTTTCTACAGTATCGGCCTTGCACCGTAGTTGCCGAAGAATGGAGTCATGGACTGAGACTGATCGCCCAAAACGTGTTCTTAGGCTACCAAGACAATATTCGTTGCATACAATATCATTCAGAGGTCAAGGTCAAGGTCAGGTCAGGTCAGGTCAGGTCACCAAAAAACAAAATATAGAAAAGGGCATGTGCGACACATGTTTTATGGGTCATTTTACTCATATAATTCAAAAGGCACACTCAATAAGTGATATGGACCACCTCTGGATGAATTTCAGGTCGAGGTCAGGTCAAGGTCAGGTCAAGTGAGGTCAAATTTTGAAGTTGGTTGTTAAGGCCTAAAAAGGTGTCTATCTGATGCAGTTTTTCACGGCGAATCGAATGGTGCTATTTTTGTTTCCGTACGAGGTCTAGAACTTCCAAAAAAGTCATTTTTCAAAAAAATTGTGTGTCGTGACGTCATGAAATTTTGAATAACTCCCACATTTTTGAACCAATTCTTCTAAAATTTGGTATGTAGGTGCACATAGACCACTTCTTTGACATATATTCCGGTTTTTTCGATAGACTCAAAATTTTGGATTTTATAATGATTTTCCCAAAAAAGTCATTTTTTTGAAAAAATTTAGGCCAAAATCCAACATTTTCAAAAAACCGAGATAACCATTTGATAGACAAAGTAAAATTACGTATAACCTTTTTTGTTACGTCTTGATTCCTTTAAAAATGAAGATGTTAGCGGCGTTTGAACTTTTGCCGTTTTTGAGGCGAAAATGGCGAACATGACGTCACTAAAACGTCAATTTCTCAAAAATTTTCCGACGGATTTCTCTCAAATTTTCAGGGAACGTGTCAAATTGATGTAAGAAAAGGTACTGAAAGTTTGGCGGCGCTGCGCGCCGCCGTTTTTGAGATATCGCAAAAATTCGCGAGGGGGGGGTAAAATTTACCCCCCCCCCAGCCCCGCGCGGGTTAATCCTCCCCACCCATTAACCACAGGCAAGGGCAGCGGTTCACTAAACGGCAACAGGGATGCCCCTAACAACACATCACCCCTCCCCATCCAGGGACCGCAGGCGTGGGCAGAGTGGTCACCGAGGGGGAACAGAGGTGCCTAATGGTAACACCTCTACCCTCTCCCACCCACGGATGTCCCGTCCTGTCTGGCCCAGTCCCAACCACGTCCAGCGGGGACAAAATCAGACAGTGATATGGATTAGCATTTCTGCTGGTTTCGGTGCCAGTCATTGAGAGAAGGTGTCATGTGGTCGAACTACTACACCGTGTAGCTCTAATGGGCCTGCAGTATTTCTGAGAGGACGACTGGTGGACGGTGTTCAGCGCGCCAGCGGTGTTATCGGTTACAAGAACAAACGACTTCCTGAAAGGCGAGCCCAGTGACGGTGGTCAGGAGAGGTGGGATTATTTGGAGCTTGTCCAAGATAAGTGAACATTGGGGTGAGCATATGACCGGCCGCTGTGAATTACGGTCATACGATAACGCAGTCTGGAAACTTGCCACAGAATGAAATGAAAATCTGAAGGATAATAGTAAGATTTGAGCTCGGCAATTCTATGGAAATGATGTAATAATTTTCACTCGTCTTCGCGTGTAATAAAGTGCGAAGGAA